TCAAAATACTCCTTCCATCTTCTCTGCACACTCTCCTCACTTGTTAGCACCTTTCCATCTCTGTCTTTAATCGCCCTTATCTGTTGCACATCCTTCTCCCTTCTCTATCTCAGTCTCGCTAATCTGTACAAGTCCTTCTCACCTTCCCTCGTGTCTAACCTGGCATACAACTTGTCATATGCTTTCTGTTTGGCCATTGCCACCTCCCTCTTCACTCTACGCTGCAATTTCTTGTAGTCCTGTCTACTGTCTTCAGTCCATTCTACGTCCCACTTCTTTTTAGCTAGCCTCTTCCTCTGGATACTGTCCTGTACTTTCTTGCTCCACCACCATGTTTCCTTATCTTCTTTCCAACTTCCAGATGACACACCTAGCACCTTCCTACCTGTCTCCCTGATCACTTCTGCTGTAGTTTCCCAGTCATCTGGAAGTTCTTCCTGACCACCCACCACTTGTCTTCTTTTCTGTCTTTCCTTTCCTCTTCTTCCTGACCACCAGAGTCATCCTACACACCACCATCCGATGCTGTCTGGCTACACTTTCTCCTACCACCACTTTGCAGTCACTAATGTCTCTCAGATTGCCTTGTCTACATAGAATGTAGTCTACCTGCGTACTTCTACCTCCACTCTTATATGTAACTCTATGTTCCTCCCTCTTCTGGAAATAGGTGTTAACTATAGCCATTTCCATCCTCTTAGCAAAGTCCACCACCATCTGTCCTTCTAGGTTCCTTCCCTTAACACCAAACCTGCCCATCACCTCCTCATCACCTTTGTTCCCCTCACCAACGTGCCCGTTGTCCAATTTCCACAGCACCCTGTAGGTCAACAGCACTGGTGGCGGTCGTTGTTAACCCAGACCTCGACCGATCCGGTATGGAATTAACACTGATGATTCGCATGTTTAAATTTGGCATGTTTTTATGCCGGATGCCCTTCCTGACACAACCCTCTCTATTTATCCGGGCTTGGGACCGGCACAGAAGTCACTGGCTTTACTGACTTCAGTCTGTACAACAGTCTACGTGAAAAGCTTTGGGTTGGCTGAGGCTCAGGGGGTAGAGCAGGTCGTCTCCTAACCGGAGGCTTGGTGGTTTGAATCCCGGCTTCTCCAGTTCAAATGGGCAAGACACTGAAACCCATGTTGCTCCTGGTGGCTGTGCTGTGAATGTTTGTGTGTGAATGCAAAATACTGTATAAGTGCTTTGAGTGTGCTTCATTGCATAATGATAAAGTTTGTGTTGGATCCATAGTTTTAACATTGACTGTTTTTCTAAATTTGCTAAATAAATACAACTTTAGGTTAGGACATCACTAACATGCAATGTTGTGTGATGTCATCTAGTGAGTTTTCAAGCAGCCCACTATGCTAATGCACAGTAGCACAGTAGTGAGAAGACCAACAAAAGCTATGGAAAAGCTTTGGTTTTGTTTGGGAACACAAACGGAACATTATCACCTTGATGAAGGAGGATTTATCACAGGTCTGTGGGGTTAGAGTGACTTAGGTGTTCCTAATAAGCCAAGTATATGTTGATGATGAATCTCTGCCAACAGGCTGCCATGAAGGCCGTCGTTGCCACCAGTCGGATGCACGAAGGCTCAAGGCGTCGTACTGACAGCTGTGAAATTCCAGGCTCAGGGGCTTCCAGGCAGGGCAGCATGCAGCAGGACCCGCCTCCTGAATCCCCAGGACCCGCCCCCGCAGACAAAGAGGCTCCGCCCCTGGATCAGGAGCCACCACAGGATGAGGAATCAAAGCCTTCCGACCAAAGTGCTCTCAGCCCCTCCCCCCCATGCAGCCCAAAACTCCCCATCTCTGATGTCACACCAACAGACCCCGCCCACAACAGGCCGCCGCTGCGAGCTGACAGGCTGCGACAAGCGTCTGTCCTCCCTAAAACCATGCTGGTTCAACCCCAGCTCTCACATAAAAGCTGCTCTTTGGTAGAGTCCACGTCCCGATCTGAGGCCACGCCCACGTTGACCACGCCCCCGAGCCCTAGTAGTCTCAGCAATGGCTTTGTGCCGGGGGCGGAGTCTGCCAATAAGACCGCCCAGTGCCAGTGATCACCTGACCAAGAGAGCAGCGAGGATTCACTATGCTTCAGTTTTACACAACTACAACAAATGACAAAAATAACAAAGTTACTTCTTTCACAAGCTCTTTACCAACATCTGATCATTTACTGGGACCAAATTACACCAGAAGCAAAAGAATCTGTAACTAGCATTTAATGGGACAACAACCACATCTTCCACTACTTTAGCTGTTATGCTAACAGCTAAACTACTCACTGAGGTTTAGTTGGATGTTTGCACAGCTGGACAGATGTTCTGTATTTCTGTGGAGCTGCCTGTTTTAAATGGAGCCTGGAGATTATTCAGGATGTGAAAATCAAAAAGCGTTTGTTCCATATCAGAACTCATCTGCTCATGTTACTGCGGTGAGATGTGAAGCTGCTAACAGAAAGTAACGCTCCTCATTCTAAATATCAGTTACATTTTAGTCTGCATAAAAACGAAATGCCTATTCAACGCGACACTGACAGGGCCAAACAAATCACAGAGAGGCTCGGTGAATTGTTGACACTGGACGACCAGCTAGACTGACTTTATGAATGTGTAATCAATGTGGAATCCTGTAACTGCTCTGATCCTGTCAGAACTTGGGTAAAAAGCCTCAAACATGGCAGAAAAAAATCAGAGAAGATGAGGATACCAAGCTAGCAAATTCATATTGTGATTATTCACACATTCTGAAGTAGTCTCTAGCATCCTAGTTAGCAGCTGTGTTTCAAGATGTGGGGGCCAGAGCCTGTTTGAGACACAGAACATCTACAAATGGCCTCATGATTGTTACTTGTTTCGTTTCACTTTCCTGGGAGACTGGGGGCCCCGTGTAGGAGGATTGGGCCCTTTACATGTCTGTACCTAGGGCCCATTGTCTCATGATCTGTCCATGTTGCTGAGCTAACGTTTGCTATGTGAGGTTTTGAGGCCTGGTCTTGCAGGACAGAGCAGAAACAGTGCTGCTTGGTGGTGTCGAGTTGTCGCACAGGAAGGATTCATGTGTAGCTTGAGAGCAAGGTAAGCAGAGCTGGACAGATGTGGTCACAGTGCTGGACCAGCTCCAGATGTGGTTTGGTCAGTCTGTACATTTAAGGACAACACTCAGCGTCGTCATGGTATCAGTCCACATTTAGACCTAAAATGCCTGTTCGAGTTCTGATATGTGACAAACAGCATCTTCTCTCCTGGGCTTCTTCTCCTCCTTCTGGTATAGAAGCTGAATTTTTCTTCAGACGCTCAGGACGGAGCTGATTGATTGTATTTTATTAAACACTGGTAAAATGTTCACATGGACTCTAATGTGAAGGACGAGGAATAAGAGAGCGGCTTCTTCTCTCTCTGTTTTTCCTGCGTCTTCTTCCCTGTTAGTTTCAGACCATGTGTGTTCTGGTTTAGAGGCTTCAGACTTAATCTTACTGGAAAACTCTGGAAAGATTTCTGCTTCTCAAAGAGAAAATCTGCTTTGAGGTTTTTTATCCTTTCTACTCTTTACCGTTGACACCCTGTATGAGTAGACAGTGTAGCGCCCATCTTTAGCTTCAGATAACGTCTTGTGCTCGTGAGCTTCTAGTAAAATGTGGTGTTTGCATTTCATCAGCAGTTATGACGATCTCCTGTTGGCATTGTACATAGTTTGGTTTTAGACAGATTATTACTGACATCTTTACCGCTCCACAAAACCAGAACCACGCTCAGTGTCCGAATCCTTGGACATACCAGATCTGACCTTTGTTGAAAATCGAACCCTTTCATCTGATCTGAGACCACACGTTCTACCTCTTTGTGTACAGGGGCTTCCAAAATGATCAGAATGACCAAAATGTCCCAGACCGCCCGGGAGAGAAATAATAAGAGGAACCAAGCCGGGCGGACCTGATGCCACTCAAAGATAATATTACTCCACATTTAGAAGAAAACCTACAGTGGCCTGGACAGTCCAAACAGACATGCAGGCTGAGAAAACAGAGGAATGCTTCCTGTCATCAGCTGGTTGCACTGCACCAGAAGCTCTGGATCTGTTTTTATCAAGTGTCTCATAGCAAAAAATCACTACGGTCAGTTTTAATCCCCCATTAAGGACTAGACATAAAAGAAACGTGTTCCTTATTTTGGGAAACACTCGTATCTGAGCCCAGATGTAGGAGAAGAGTCCTAATGTACTCAGAGTGGCCAGTTGATGACATGTGAGCAGTGTGATGTGTGACCCCACAAGAGGAGACATGTTGGGACATTTAACATTCTGCATCCCTCTGTTTAATGTCCCGTGTAAGGATTCTAGAGCCACTGTGGCTTAAACAGAAGAATGTATACGCTTAAATTACTTCAGTTATTTTGCAGTAGTCTACCCAAAATATACAACAGGACACTGAACAGTCATAAAAATGAATGAAAAACTTTTCATCGTTTAAGTGGATATTTAGCTGACATATAATTCATATAATAAACAGTTTTTTCTTTTTGTTGCTGTGATATTAGATGATCTCTTGGTAGTGAAGAAAATGCGATTAAAGAACCTTCGATGTACTCGGTTGTAACAGAACTAGGAGGGGTTTGGAAAGTATTTATTTTTATTATTTACAAAGCACTGCTGATTTCACATATTTGTAGCTTGTGAGTTGCTAATAATTTTAGACAGGCAGGTTGATAAGTAACTTCTCTCACATGTGAACCGTAGACGCCAATGTCCACACACCACGGGAAGACAAAGGTCACACACGCTCATTTTACTGAAAGATATACTTTGAGAAAAGTAGAATATTTTCTCAGACTGACTGTGCACTTGCAGAGACCACATACCCCTCTTGTAAAGCTAAATTTTTCACGACTGGATCATGTTGTCGTGCCTCCTGAAGGCATGACGAGGGCCCTTGGTGACAACAGTCTCCGCTGTAATGAAGGCAGTCTCAGCTTAGCCTTCGCTGTCAGACATTTGCAGCTCTGAGGATGTGACGCCAATGAAATCTCCCTCTCTGTTCTGAGTTGTTGTTCTGCTGAAGGTGAAAGCAGGATGCTTCATAAATAACTCGGTGAGATCGCAGTGTTTTCATCTCCAGCCTTCAGCTCTCTGGCACTCTGAGATGCTGATAAATACAGGCCCCGCTCTCGTCAGCACTTCTGGCACCAAGTTCCTCTGTTGGTTTTCTTCATTTTCTTGTGTTTTCTCAAGTTGCTGTGCTTCTTGTTCTGTCTCAGCCACCGAATAAAATCCAGGGTTGTGAAGAGGAACACATTTCTCTGTAAAGAGGAACCAAACCCCCAAAACTATCAAAGCCCCTAATGTCCTAAAAAGTTAGTTTTTCTAAGGATGGGTTAAAACCTATCATCTTAGTATGTATGAGGTGAAGCCTGAATGTGCTGGACTGGTCTGAACAGTACAGTGGCTGCTCTCACCACTGGAGGTCAGGCGGTTCTGCTGGAGTGGTGTTTAGGGCCAAAGGAATGCCTGCAGACACTACTCAGGGCTGAAAAAACATACCACCAACTACATTTTCCTGGTTAACAAAATCATTTTTAAGTTGTATTTTTATTTACCATTATTTTACCCTAAAAATGCTGTAAACAACATTATAACTGAACATAAGTCAAAATAAAGCAAAGAGCTGTTTGGAGTAAAGCTGACAATACAATAATTATTTATAACGAAGCATCAGAAATCAAACAGTGGAACTAAAAATGACTTTATGGTGCGGTGCGCTGCTGATGCTTTGTAACATCTGGATTTTGTATTTTTTTGCATCTGGAGATTTGTAATCTCACATACATGTGTAAGGTAATTTATATTATATTATATTTACAGTTCATTTATCCTAAGATGATGCTATAATCAACACTATAAGTGAATATAAGAAAGCACAGAGCTGTTGTATATGTAGTAAAGATGCAAACACAACAGTGATCTCTCTGAAAGTATGAATGAAGCTAAAAATGACTAAGTAGAGCTGCATATAAGACTTATACCTATGCCACTTTATAAGCAGAGGTCGTGACATGGCTTTGTGTTTATGCATGTACATATCACAAAGGCAAACAGGGGAAGTGGCAAGTTTGTAGAAATCGGATTTTATTACAAATAAGGGTGAAAAAAGTCAATTGACAAGATAAACAGCCAGTGAAGGGGATAAGACAGTGTAATGTGGGTCAAACTTGTATCAGTGGTCTTGGACAAATGCCCAGTAAAACAAGGTGCATTACGTTATTTCACTGTGGCCAGCAGGGGGCACTACAGCGCGACTGATGCCTCGACAAAGCAACCCCACCCCCCACCCCTCCGGTCTTCGGTGCAGTAACCCCTGACAGATCTTTGTAGTTTGGTTCCTCTTTAAATAATTTGGTGAAAACGTGGGTCTGCTGTCGGGCTATTCGCAGGTGTTTTAACTTTTTGCCAAGCGGAACACTCTGGAGTTGTCATAGTAAAATGCATGTATACTGTATATCTGATTTACATCTATACTCTTCTGTAAAAACATGAATACTTTGCTTGCATTTATCTTGGCCTTGGGAAATTCTGGGGTGTTTTGAGGTGGGCGGGGCTAAACTATAAATGGTGTTTGTTTTGTGTTTGATGAGTAAACTTGTACCTGTTTATTTTGAAGGCAAACATATAATCTGAGAGTGTAACAGCCTGAGCTGTGACACGTGTATCCTTGCATGTATTATTTATTTTCTGCTGATCATATCAGGTAGCAATGCTGAGGCAGGGAGCCGGATCCGGCTGATCTGGGCTCAGGCTGCAGGAGGCAGGATTTTACATCACAGGTCTAGTAAAGGCTAGTTGATAGAAATACCTCACGACTTCTGGTTTTCTTTCTCCTGGAGGACGCACAGATGCTGTTACACATATGACCGTGAAACCAAATGAGCATATCTAATGAACAAAACTGTTCTGGTGTGAAAGTTGCTGTATTATGTTGTGAAACTTCAACCTTAATCCCAAACATGTAGCCATGAGAAGTCACTGTTTGCAGCTTCTTGGTTTTCTGCATAAATTGGTCATGATCTGTGATGTGACATCACCAAAGTCACAAACATCAACAAACACAACATTTCTAAGATGATAAAACACAAACAGTCCTGATCTTTCAAGTCTGTACTGAACACACCCAATAAGTCCATTTACATTCAACAGCCACAGACCAACATGCTCCTCCATTTGCAGTGTGTCCCCCTGATGAGCCTCAGCCCAGTGCTCCCTCTCTGTTCGCTCTGGGTTTGGTCTCCAACTCCTGAGGGAAACCTTGGGCTCTGGAGTCGCTAATGCCCCGGCTCGAGGTGGCTGACAGCACTGCTTACATTGCAAGTCAACTAAAATGTTTTAACTTTGGAGTCCTTTTTATTTTTTATATCATAAGAAATTAAAAGGCTTAATTTAATTTGACAGTTTTGTTTTGATATATTTCCTGCCAGCAGAGCTTCTCTCTGTAAACATGTTCCTTATGGATCGTCCCACACCAGTATGTGGAGTTGGACTTCCAGTCAGATGCCGACACCTCCCACACAGAGATGGCGCTGTAGGCTCCGCCGTTCTCTGACCTCATCAGTGACATCTGTGCCCCTGATGATGTCACCGGCGTGTCATCGACCCACCACATGACGTCCTGTGCAGATGAGTTTAATGCCGTCAGGAGACAGACCAGCAGGTGAGAAGATCTCCGATCCTGAGAGAGCAGGGCTGATGATAAGATCTGAAAGGATGGACCTGAGGATGACAGGAAGTTTAGGGTCTTCACATATTTCACACCTCTCAGCTGACAGAGCACAGAGCAATAAGCTAAACCAGTTTCTGGACTCACACTCGATACGGTGAGTACACAGATCTGCAGGGAAAACTTCACTTTCATTAACCCCCTGAAAATACTGGGAGGGAAACACTTGTCCCTCTGCTGCACTGATCTGGCAGCTACTTTGCGTATGTTCCATCCAAAGCACAAGCCAGAGGCTCATTACTGCAGCTGCTGGTGGCTCCACAGGACAGCAGCAAGCAGCAGCTGCCGTGAGACATGACTGATCACCTGAGCACACAGACAGTCAGTGTGCTCTGATCTCTGAGCTGGCTGCCCACCTGTCCCTCCGACTCCCTGGTACATCTGTATTTATGAAGCCGTTTTAGGTCAACTCATTTCACGGAGCTCCTCTTCTGAGATTCCAGACATGTCTTCTGTGTCCCAGTGTTCAAAGATAGGAAACAAAGCGGCAGATTTTCTGCTGTAGACACTTGGGACGGTTTGCAGAGGGACATTGAATGAACGAACCTGGTGTCACAGACTGAACTGGAGACTGCTGTTACCTTGAATATGTTACACACAAAGCCAGGTCAGAGGCCCATTACTCTGACTCCTGGAGGTTTCACAGGAGAGCAGCAAACAGCAGCTGCAGTGAGGCAGGACAGGAACGCCATCAGTGTTTCACCACGGGAATTCAGCCACAGCCTCTTGGCAGCTGGTTTCTCTTTCTGGAGCTACACTGACAGTTTGTGGCTCTGTGAGCATGGACACTGATCCTCAGCTGCGCATCGTGAATGGATCCTTTCACCTGCTAGAGCCAACTCGTGTTTGTCTGCTCATCGGTGGGCGTGTCAGTCTGCAGCCCAGCTTTTACTGTGTCTGCGTGGTTTCTTCTTTGTTGCAGTTCATAGTTTTGGATGTTGGACATACTGCAGTATGTCAGCAGAGCATCACCAGCCCTCAGTGGCAGAAAGTACATTTACTAAAGTAGTGTACTTTTTGTACTTGAACTTAAGAAACCTTTTGAATGCAGGGCTTGTACTTGTAACAAAGTATTTCGAAATTGTGGTATTTCTACTTTGGTAAATGCTCTGCGTACCTCTTCCACCACTGCCAGCTGTCGCTACACAAACTGCCTGGTCAGAAATAAAACACACTGATGGTGAATGGTGCACAAAGAAAAAGGTAGTGACCTGCTGCATAAACAGAGTCGGGGTAATGCGTCGCCTTTGTTTACGTACTCAGTGCAAACATTCGAGACAAACATACCTGTGGTCTTGTTTTCAAGACCAACATCTCCTTCACAGTCTGCTTCAGCAGCGCTGACCAGCAGCCAGATCTCTTCACTGAAAACCACAGAGAAAATGACAGACTGTCCTGGGGCTGTCGGCCACACGGAGCAACATCTGGAACAACAGAAACAGTTAACAGAAAGCACACAGACAGATGTGTAGAGAAACAGTTTGTCTGTTCCTCTCTCACCCCAGGAGGAGGACAAAGGCCTCTGTGAAGTCCATCCTGAAGTCTTGCTCCAGTAGTCAGCACCAGGGTTAACCTGAAGGAATCCTGGTGAGGATGAATGACAAAGCCAATTAGCAAGTTTGGTTTTCCTAATGTTACTCTGACGTAAAGTCACCGAGATGTTCACTTTATGTTAAACAGACACCTTTGCAAGAAATGTTATTTTTCTAGTGCACCGTAAAACACAAATGAAGGTTGTAGGTTTATCAGAGGTCCCGTGATGGTTTACCTTCAGTGGAAGTCAATATACTGCTCATAAAGATGGTTTTTACCTTAAAGAAATCGTCCCAGTAATGCAGATTTTTACCCTAAATATATCCCTACAAGGATAATGTTACCTTAACTTTAGGTCATTTAAATGTTCACGGTCTTTAGGTAGGTAGGTAGGTAGGTAGGACTTTATTGATCCCACAATGGGGAAATTCCTGTGTTCCAGCAGCAATAGAGAGCAGCAACAAAACACCATAAGAACAAACACCACACACATATCTTGAGAAACAAATTCCAAAGTACCTAAAACCAGACAGAATATAATATTTCAGAGACAATCAAGAACAAGAATGATCCTCCCACAATTAATCCCTGAGAACAATCAAAATACATAAGAACAAGACAAAATATTGTACTCAAGAGATCAAGAAATCAAGGACAAGAATATTACTCCCATAATTAATCCCGTGATGGGGGAAATATCTATATTTCAGCCATGAGGATCTCTGAAAAACCACTCAAAAATACCTAAAACAAGACAATATAAAGTATTCGAGAGAAATCAAGAACAAGATTTTACACAGGTGCATATTTATAATGCATTTTACCTCCAGGATTAGAGTATTGCACCTCAGTTGACTATTTCATAGTCCTTCATAATTTCACCTATCTTACACACTGCAGTGATGTATTGTACAGTCATCAAAAGCCATTGTGTGTCTCTATTTACCTGCGGCCGTTGTGTTTGCTGCCGTCAGTCTGAGTCCTGCACATCTCCTCGTTGTGTTCATGAAATCAGGAGGATATTTGTGTCCAGGAAACAGAAACGTGACTGCTGGTGCAGAAAACCAGCGTCTCCTGAGGAGAGAAGCTGCTCTGGGATCAGAGTGGCCGTTGGTGACAGATGGAAAAACAGGAAGTTTTCTCTTTGTTAAATCAACTGTTGGCACCAGACACCAGTCCAGCTGCCTGCACAGCTAACCCGGTCCAGAATAGGAAGCCAGTAAAGCTGAAAACATTTGCATAAACTTTCCTGAGAAAACCCAGACCTCGCTGTCGGCAGGAGGGAAGTCAAGGTTACAGCAGCCCAACAAAACCCATGATTAATGAAGTGAAATCAGAAACTGAAGGAATATGGTATAAAAGCTATGTCCACCATGCAGACTGCAGACATTTGTACCAATACCTGAGCAAAAATTTCTATAAATGTAGTCAGACACTGAGAAGAGCTTTGTCTGTGCTCTTTAAAAACCGAGGAGACACGACTTAAAGACTTTATATGGAAAAACAACCTGATTATAACACTGTTATGGTCCCATGTGTGACATCTGGATACCAGCAGGTGTTGCTCTGTTACAGTTAACCTCACTAACGAACCACAAAGGATCTTTTATCAGCCATGTTTTAACCATATTTAACACTCCAGAGTAACCTTGTAATGTAACGCTTTTTACACTATTCTCAAAGCTTTACTTTACAAATGAAATTTTAGACTAATAAACTGCCCACTGGGTCTAGGGGAGCTTTTCCCTCTAACAGCTGGGCACTGTCATAACTCCAGATGATCATGCTGCTCCATAGCAGGGCTGGTCATAGTTTACTGTTTACACATTTATTTCAATTGCTCAGCTATATTTTCTGCACATTTTCTTCCTCAATATCAAGGTCTCCATGCTGTTTCAAAGCCTTTTCCTTTTACTGAGAACACTATAAATCTGACATAAGGCACAGACAGACGGTGAACTTCAGGCAGAGTAGTGAAAATCACCTGTGCAGGTGTACAGAGTGTTTATCTCACCAAGTAACTAATACAGTAACAGTAGTAGAAAGTAAAACATTTCAATATCAGAATCAGTTTTACTGGCCAGGTATGTTGGACACACAAGGAATTTGGCTCCGATACGGTGGCACTTGGTGTGCATGTACATGTACAGTGGCAACGAGTAGACAAGTTACGGCAGAGAGCAAGAAAAGAAAAAGTGTGCAAACAAGAAAAAGGAATGTGCATTAGGAAAATAAACATAAAAGTAAAGTTCTCATAT